ATTCTGCAGATCTGCCTGATGGTTCCAGCAGTTGCCTATGGAAGTGATGTGTTCGCTGAACTCAAGCTCTTTCAAGACTAAGCTGTTGAGAACTGACATTCAGTTCTCATCATTGAACTTTTAGACTAAGTTTCAAACTTCTATTTCAGTTACCGCTTTTCTCTTTGGTACTGCTACACCCATGTTATTGCACTGTGAAATGGCGCTCTTCAGTTCATTCATATGGTCATCCTAACTTCTTCATGATCACTGCTCGTCCTGCCTTTATTTATGCGTTTCACTCAACTCGAGTGCACGGAGTTTTTAAACTACAAACTCAGTTTCCAATACGACTTTAACTCGTGTTTTTTTTTCTTAGTGGCATTTTCTTTTTTACATGTCTTACTAATCCATGTTTTGTCATTATGGTAGTTCAGGTCTAAACAATTTGCCCTTTTCTATCAGTACAGCTTGTTGACTTGCTCTAGTTGATACACAAAAAAAAGAAAACTCATTGATGTTCTTGCGGAGGCATTGGGCCCTCCCCGGAATCATTTGGGCAAGGTTCTTTAGTACTATTCCATCAACCGAGCCCCGCTTTGCTTATTTTATCAAGAGCATTTTCTGCTGGCAAACGAGTTGGTATGATTACCACTCCATAGATTACACTAGCTTAATACGATCTTATTCACATATGAGTTATTCATTCTCTACAATCCTTACTGCTATCCATTTGAGTCACTGTACTCTCCTCGGCATACCGGTTTGGTGAGATTACGCAGTTTATCAACCATCAAACCGTTTGCTTGTTTGGATCAAAATTGTTTTGCTGGCAAAAAAGGGGGCATGGGTACCATCTCCATGAAACACACTAATTCAGTTCTGTTGACTACAGTCCTAGAGCAGTCACAAACAGGCTTTCTTCACACCAATAATCTAGTCCGAATGCTTAGACCCCAACTACATGATGAATTATCGTGGTATTAGAGTATGAGTAACTGTGTATTTTTGTCTTTTTAAGGAACGCCTAGAGCGTATGTAATAAATAAATAAATAAATAAATAAAAGCTGCAAGAAAATTACTTTCTTCGAGGGTACTGACATATCGAAAAGTTTGTGAAGAAATTAGGCAGCAGTAGTATTTGAACAAAATATTTTCAAAAGAAAAGGGGAATTTTGCTTAGCTATGAGAGACACGGCGTATTGCGGAAACGGAAACTGCCTAAAATTTCTAGGAGAAATGAGTTGGCTGATCAAGTTTTTTCTTTTGATCTAGTTTATAATTTAAGAGGAAATTAAGATTTCCAGCAGAGGAGGGTTCCCTTCCAGCAAACAAAATCTGCAGAATAGCTGCAAGAGCAAGTAACGTATTCATACCCAAATAACGTAATCATACCCATTTGCAGTTCTGCTCAGCTTGTGGTACACCTCAGATATCGTTGCTGATCCCCACAGAAATTGAGCAATTTACAAGCATGCTACCCATTCTAAAACATGAGATATTTGAATTAAAGCAAGCAGTAAGCATACAATACCGCTCGTACTCGTCAAAGTCACCAAACTACTTCGCAGTTTTCAAAATACACGTCACATAGCCATATCTTGGTTCAGAATAGACGATCTCATATTCCAAGGACACCGTTAGACTCAGCTAGAAAGGCGCATGTTCTTCTTTATAAAAGTTCCGATTTGGTTGAGGTAGGCGGTCAGACTTGACGATTCTTTTAGGTTTTTGTCTATGGTAGATTACCCAGAGTGCAATAACCTCAGTGACTAACCTACAGTAAGCAAAAATTTGTAAGGACTCATGAAAACTGAATGCTTACAGTGTGTATACAGTACGCAAATATCTATATATAGAGAGAAACGCATCGTCGAGCTGAGTCAAGTGTCCTTGGATTTCGAACTTGTCCATTCTTAGCCACGATGTGGCGCTGCGGTGAGAATTTCGATACTCGATAAATAAAGTGGAATTTGGCGACCAATTACTAGCGGTATTGCGTAATGACGTGAGATCAAACGTTCTTTAATTATTTCAAAGTGTAGTTTAGCCCAAAAATGAGCCTCGAAATCATGCAACTTAATCATGGCTTGAATGAACTCAGTAATTCGAAAAAGCTTTGCATCTCATCGAAAGCTTTGCATCTGATTTGATAAGAAAAAAACTCGCGATCGGTAGCACATGCCATAAGAGACTAGTGATTACCTTAACTAGCCGTCCTTAATCAACAATGAAAAACAAGAGTTGTTTTTTTGGAACCCTTTAAGTGATTATATTAACGATAAATGATAGGCTAATTAACGTTTAATATTAGTTTGCTTAGCCTATTATTTACCGTTCATGAATTTGTAGACTGATATGCGACGGAATGAGGATTGAAGTAGAATCTAGAATAAGTATGATAATTGAACATCCACATTTCTGCAATGTCTCAAAATTGAGCATCTGAACTGCTGAAAAACTGTTCTAAAGAGCTTAAATTATTTTTTCAGATAAAAATGATCTTGGAAAAATCCGTTGAGAAGAAAGGGAGTTACTTATTTTTGTTTTTTTCGAAAACTTCTGAACCCATCGAACACATCTATTTCATGCACATCAGCTACAAAATGATAAGGAAAAACGCACTTGCACAACCACAGTCGACCTCGGCCCGGTATGCGTCATGAAAAGAAGAGGACAAATGACGAGGAACTTTGAGGATCATAACCTCATCGATTGCCTTCACCTCTATGCGTTTTATGGTTGAATATTTTTTCTCATCATCACCACGCTGACTAAAAAATGCTTAAATTCCGTTTTTTTTCTACTCAGACAGCGGATCGGACCCCTCCGGCGCAGAAATGGCAGGGCCGCGGGGTTTCCCCAGCGGGGTGTCTGCCACTCGTGCTCCGGAGCCCCCCGATTTTGTGCGCCGGAGACCTCCCATTTCTGCTCCGGAGACCTCCCATTTTGTGCTCCGGAGACCTCCCATTTGTGCTCCGGACCCCTCCGATTTTCTGCTATGCGGCTCGTCCAAATCTGGCGGACTCGCGGCGGGCAAATCTCTCCGCCGCGGCTCTGCCAAATCTGGCGTACCTCCGGAGCAGAAATGGCGTACCTTTGCAGCATATCCGAAGAAGGGTCCCATTCGCCTGCCGGTGACGTCACCGCGACCTACAAGAAGGGACCGCCCCCTCGCCCCGCTCTCATTGGTCAACTGGGTCCGCCGCGACTCTGGCAGATTTCGACTGTCCGCCGGAGGGGTCCGATCGATTGTCTGAGTACGCTTGCGCTCATGCCTTCAGTTTTGTTCAAACTCCTACTACATGAAAACTGCAGTCACTCGATTAACATTGTTGTGAATGCTGTAAAAAGCTTTCTGAAGACATCCATTAGAAGGTATGTACGTGTAAGCTTGAAAACATGGGTATATGCATTCCAAAAATTCTTAAGTGGATTGATGAGCGCAGGTTGCGCCGTATTTAAATACACAACAACATCACTGAGTCTCGGATTAAAACTCGGATTTTTTCCCAGTCTGCATGAATGCGAGAGAACAAATTGGCCCGTAGTAAACCCCCACCATAGCATCTCTCTTGAGGCGGACCGGAGCTGATCTCATCGCGCCTCAGCACATTGCCAGGGGATCGATTGATTTGGAGCAGATCACTTATTGGACGTTCGTTTCAAAGGCGGAACGTTTCTGCCATTTGTGCATTAGTAGTCAAATGGATAAGACTGATGCGTTTCCACCGGCAGAGCCATGGTTCGAGTGCGGCTAGCGGCAACATTTTTGCTACTTGGCCTGGCGACCTTTGATAGCGGCCGTTACCGAAAAATCGATGATAGCCGCTATCAAAGATTTCACCTAGCAAACAACGATATAAAACAAATACACAATAATTTGCCACTTATACGAAGAAAAACTACACTTAGCGAAAAATGAATAAATAGATAAATTTATATTCTTGTCGTCTGGAGCGGTTCTTTGATAAAAACAAGCAGCAACTGCAAGAAAAATGCAAAGAAATCTTTTTTTCCGATTTCGTCGCGCAATCAGCTGTTCATCGATCCTCACTCACTTAGGCGCCCGAATACGTGCAATTTTGGGATTCTTGCACCGCAAAAGAACGTCATCTGCGATGTTTCGTAAGTTACTCGGGAGCAACTTACGGGGATTTTCTCTGTGCTCTCCTCTTTAGCACAGTATTTACCTTATGTCCTCGCCCGGCTCATCTCTGATGTCCAGTCGGGAGCTGATCTCCCTGCCGGGCTTCGTCTGAAGCTCGCCTGTAGGGTGACCTTGCATATTTACACCACGAAAAGTGGGCAGTCCTCATCTCACCCGACAAAGCCTCATATGAGGGCCTCAGGGGAGATCATCTCCCGTGACCGAGCTTTACTACGGGTCATTGTCTCGAGCAGTAATCTCCCGATCAAAATGCCGATGTACGGAATTTATTGCGACAGATTTGGTTGAATCCAGGGCCGGTAGTAATCCCCCTGACCTGGCGGCATCTTTCGCCGTCAAATCGGCGTCATCTCTACGTGAAGTTGGCGCGAACTCCAACCTCAAGTCTGTGCCCTCCCAACCCTTTTTGCCCCGATTTTCCCTGTCGAATAGGTCATAGCGACCTTTGGGAACCTTACCTGGCAACTTAAGGTGCAAAAAACCTCCCTAAACAGATTTGTAGAGGAAGGCGCGAAGTGCTGGCGGCAACTTCGCGAACTGACCTGGCGGCATCTCGTCGAAATTTCAGCGCTGAGAGATGGCGCCAGGTCAGAGAATAGGAAAAATAGCGTGCTCGTTTGCGAGATCACGGTGCCACCATCCCGACGTGCCCCTACCATGTCGAGGGGGTGGCACCTTGCTGGCGCCGTCTGTAAGTTTGCGTCTTGCACAGCTTCGGACAACGCCGCGAAAATGGCACGTAATCGTTATTGTTAAAATTGTATTTTTGTGAAGTGTTTTATCGGTTTTTGTCGTTTACGAAGCATTAATAATGTTTTTTTCACCATTATAAGTGAGTTGTTTGTTGCAGGTGGCCCTGTGGGGCTCGGGCCACCCAAGGAGCCCCTCTCCACCCTCTCCTGAAGGTCTTTTTCGGTCTAGTGATTGAGTGGGGGTCGAACTCGACAGGACAACTCGCACTAGCGTGCTCGACGTTGCGCACATATCAACGTTACCTCTGTACTCGAAGCTATCGTCTCTGCTAAAATCGCTGTTGTTCACTCGATAGAGGAGTCCAGTAAACGCGTGAGTTTTTTGAGACCTTTAAGCTTATTTTGATATTTTCGGTTTTGTTCGAAAACTTCGTTACCCCAGTTTTTTAACTAGTTGGTTCTTTCATGTCGTTTTGATTCTGCACTTTGCCTATCTCCTTATCATCACAAAAAAGTTACTGCTTCGAGGGGTTCTTTCCTGTAATTTTGCATTTTGATAGTTCTTTATTGCGGATGGTGGTAAAGTGCACGCATCCACAACATTTTTCCCGTTTTCAGCAGCGTAATTAATCAGTGAATTGTAATTTTATGTAGTTCCACACAAATGCCGCTAGATTTCGGCCATGTTTTTTTGAAATTCCCCTGTTTACATGCTTTCGTTATTGTTATCAATGTGTTGCACTGACTCTATAACCTATGCCTAATGATTACGGTAGTTGTAACCTACTCGCAATTAGCTCCGTACCTTACCTCCGAGTTAAACATTAAACACTCCGAAAACCCTGGTGGCCAAAAGGTCCTATGGTGTTCACCACTTCACACCTTGCTACTGATCTTTCTCATCGAAAGAGCTTTTGATTTAAACGAAGTAAGTTTTGCTTCAATTCAGATGATCGAAACGAAGTGCTTCCAAGAATTGAATGTGTTTTTCGAGGAAGACGGCAGCTTGGTGCCGAGTCTGCGTCCCGATGGTCAGGTGCAACTCGATAAGAAAAACGGCTCAAGTAGTGCTGGATTTTTTGTGCCTTCAATCGTCTTTCCGTGAGGATGTGCAAATAAGTGAGTGAACTTCAAGATACGTTGTTAGTTATCCTTTTAGTTGCTTATTTGCTTTTACTTCTATAGTGCTTTCGAGTAGACTTTCTTCTTTTTTTTGTTTTAGAACACTTCTTGATGTGTTTTAAAACTTCTATAATTATCAATTGTGGGAAATTTATTAGGGAAAGATCCTCATTCGAAATGGCTTTTACAAAATAAATGCATATCATGGATAATAGAACGCTAATTTCAAATCTGTCTTCCTTATGTGCGCAGCATTTAGCGTATTTGCCCTTTAGGACCATGTGCACTTCAACTAAAAGACATTTCGACTAAGGATCCTTCGCCTGTTAGAAATCGTCTATAGTGCTTACTTAAATTACTAGCAAACATTTTTGGATCTCCAGGAGTATCACCCTCTTATTTGCACTGTAGACAAAACTTCTTATAGCTGGAGGGGATGAGCGAGGGATCGCCAACTAAGTCGCAAATGGCTGACTAAGCCATTCAGCCAATTGCCGCCAGAATGCGTGGAGTTACACTATCCTGCAGCCAGTCGCTGTTTTGTCGCCAGCCCCTTCAGCAATCTCCGAGGCCGGAAGATTCCGAAAAAGCGCTTTCTTGATTTTTCAAACACATTCTGGACTCAGCGGATCCAGAAGGCCATGTAGGTGCGAAAAGCTCGCACTCGCAATTTCCCCGAGCCACTGCCTCGAAGGCACCGGTTGGCTAAGTGACTTCAGCACGCGGACCCTTTCTTACTAGCGGGCAATGCGCTTCGCACCCATACCGTACTCGGAAACTATCTGTAATGTGCGCACATCTCACTACATACACCGCTAGAAGAAATTCACCTTGTGTTGCAAGAAAAAAGTTCAATCCTTTAGAGCTAAAAGCAGAAGTGAAGGACAAGTTAGTAATCGCGTTCCATGCCGTAATTGCTGTCTGCATCATTTCGTGAGGGGGCCGAGCAAACTGCGCGTTGCCTGAGCAATCGACCTGGATGTAGACTATATCGATTACACAAAATAGTGAGGATATGGGAGAGAAATTGTTCATTTCCGCTTTGAGGACTGTCTTTCCACTGGCTCATCTCAAATTGCACTTTCTTCCACTTTTTTCGAAGGTCCATCCTATAACATTATTTGTACTGCAAAGGCTGCCACTTACGTGATGGCCGTGTTTATATTTCAGCTATAAGGCCAACGTCAGCATCCAAAGGAGGCAAAGGCCCTCCGAAAGAAGCGCGCTCGTGGCATCAGTGGTTCTTCCATCAAAAAAGATGGTGGGTTCAACATTCCTTGCATTGTTATGTGTTGATGAAACAGAACTTGCTATAGGTGGTCGTTTCGATATGGTAACGAGTTTGTCAAACCCACGAATTACGTTTTCCTATTTCAAGTTTTCGAAAAGTGAGAGTTACTTTTGCTTGCAAGTTCAGTGACAATGCTTTTTTCTCTATATCCTGAATTGTTTTCAGTTTGTATGCGAATGCATGCCCCAAAGCTTCAAATTGGAATCATATTTTACATTCTTATAACTGCCATATCACCTTTTTCGTTTGGTGGCTCTTATTCATCGCGATCCATCGGGTTTGGTTCGATGGAATCGGATAGCGAAGCCAGCAACGACTCGGCTAATGTCAGGCCTAAAAACGATCAGGTAAGTTGGGAGATCGAACAATCATAAGCATTTGCTGTGGTACTGAAAAATGTATGCTTAAGATGATCCGCGTAAAAGACCTCCTACTTGCCGCATTGTCTCCTGATGATGATGGTTCTAGCGAACAGTCGCTTGCTAATGTGTTTTCTGAAGAATACGATGAAATTGGACGTGTCAAACTTCTCCATGACGCATTCACTGCCATTTGCAATGTAATGAGCGAGTATCGTTGAAGAACGTTTTGGTATTTTCACCTCTGTTTAGAGAAGGGAGGAAGTTGTAGATGATCCCATGTTTGAGTATCGTCTGGTGACCACCGTAAGCAGGTTGATTCAGCAAGAACTTCTCAAAAGTTCCACGGTCGACAATTACGTGCAATGGTTTGTTTTATTCAATTTTGATCCCTGTTGCTATTCGGAGGTCCTTTTTTCAGTGCGCAAAAGAGAGACCACTGTTGGGAACTTCTCAATGCTGCTACTGTGAAACTGCCTGAAGACTGGGACGCTGATGGTAAGTGAGCTTTTTATCAGTTTTTCAAACGCTGCAAGGATTCTTGAGAGTTAGCATTGCTCACTATATTACTTTCTTCTTCTGTTCAGTATCATGTCATCATAAGCAACATTCTTTATTGCTTTCCACTAGTTTAGTGAACAGTAGCCAGATGTTGATACATGTTTCAGTCGTTCTCAAAGGAATAGAAAAGCTCGCTACGGAGCTTGCCACTGAGCCCGATACCAAAGATGTTGCTGAAGATCTTTCTGGGCGCAATGTTCCTTTCTTTCATGCCGATTTTGTTTCTCAGGTTAGTCGAATTGTTTGTAGTTCACTAATTTCAGTTCAGGTAACTAGTAGTTCACTAGTTTGTAGTTCATTCTGCCGAGGTAGTTTTTTTTGCCTTAATGCGAACCGAGCTTCTTTACCCTCACAATATTAGATGGATCTCCCTGGTGCTACTTCACTTGCAACTATGCTAATGAGTTATGCCGCTAATGATGTTATGATTCTTCACTGGTGATGTTTACAGGTCACAGGCTTCATCACAGAGATGAAACCAAGACAACCGAGACGGTTTTACAAAACTGGCAGTCAATCACAATAGAGGTTTAGTTTTACGGCTACAATCTTCTTTTCAAAACCTCTTCGTTCAGAAGAGAATAACGTGTCGCTTTGCATTCACATAGTCGGAGTCGTTCGACTCAGAGCCACGGCATATGTCTGCATTCCAATTCTGTAAACAGCCTGGGAGATCGGATAAGGTACGTTTTGCAATTTTCTTCCCACGAGTTACAATATAAGCTTGTGAAAGGAAAGTCAAAATGAAATCCAAATCGGCGGTTTGCTCGCGCTGAAAAGGTTGGTAGGAGATAGAATACTGCGAAGTATCGCATGTTTTCGCCATCCTGGGTTAAATGGAAGATCACGAGCCTTTTAGATGTTTCGAACTGGGACTGACAAGCATATGTCTAAAAATTGCTGCTAATATGGCGGAGCGGGCAGTCGGAGTGGGCACATCCTCGATTGTTTATACATGATCGTTTCATCATTAACTTTTTTGACCCACTCAGATGTTACTAACCAAACTAAGTGAAATAATAAAGGGCTTTCAATAGATTCCATACTAATAGAATTCTCAAGTATTCTACTCAATACCTCCCCAACCTTAAAAGGTATAAAGTTGTTGTAACTAACTAACTTACAGTTTCATTCATCATTGTGTTATCATTTACGGAGAACGGCAGGGATATGACGAGGGTAAGGTATCCCATCACAATCTCGCGCTGTTCTGACGGTGTAAGCTTAGGAAACCCTGGACCACGTTGAAGTGATCGCGGAGGAAGTTTTAAAGAGGCGAGACCTACTCTGGGACACCGCCGGCACTAGACAGCCAAATCAAAACCATAAACGCACGGAAGCTTGGAAAGAGATCCGTCGGATTGTGTTTAGTAAGTGCGACCGGGATTTGACGGTAGACCAAATCAAGAGGATTTGGCGAACAAAAAGGGCAGTGTGAGGGCTTTACTCATGCAAGAAAAAAAGTAGGTTGCTATTCTTCTTGGACAGATCCAGTACCACAGAAGTCTCCTTGCAGTTATCGCAACGCCACAGGGGGAGGCGTCAATAAAGCGCTGGAGGAGGCCCTAGCAAAGGGCCTCGGTTCGATGTCGGAGGCGGATGAAAAAATCGCCAGAGCCCTCGGCCCGGAGGTCAGCTTCGGCGGCCTCCGGGTCGCAGAGAGCTGTGTCGGCCTAAGTAAAACCTACCCACTTATCTACGAAACCTACGCTGACAATTTAGGCTGCCCCACCCTCCGAATGCTCCGACCCCGGAGCATCACAGGTACTTCAACAATTGTCCACGGTGAGTCAATTAATAGCTTCACTGCGCATTTTTAATCTCATATTTTCAGTTTGAGAGCGATAGTGACACTGATTGTGAGGAGATACCAAGAAAGCGGGGCCGTAAGACTGGAGTTCGCGAGGCGTTTCTAGAGGAACAGACTAGATACATCAGGGTAAGTGCGCTACCTGCGTCTCTGCATATTTCAACTCAGAGCATATTTGCAGGCAAAGAGGCTGTACCTCGAAAAAAAGTACGCGCTACTCACTAAAGTGGACACCCTCCTTGAAAAGATCCAGATCAATGTCTATATACAACCCAACAATGGAGCTGTACACAACACCGGACAAAGGACGACCAAAACCGATACTAATATAGAAAAGTCTCTTCTTTCATCACAGGTCTGATGGCCTGTGATGAAAGAAGGGACTCTTCTGTATTAGGATCGGTGTCATTATGATCATGATAATTCATTGTTTCATTTATTGTTTCAAAAACTTTTGTTGACCTCTGGTGAAGTTTTGTGATTTTCTCATTATGACTATTGTTGTTCAATATTTATTGTTTCAAACACTTTTGTTTACGTGTGCTGAACTTTTCTCTTTTTCTCATTATGTATTGTTGTTCAACATTCATTGTTTGAAACACATTTGTAAATGTGTAGTGAAGTTTTCTCGTTTTTTATCAATATGATTATGGTTGTACAACATTTATTGTTTGAAACACAATTGCAAATGTGTAGTGAAGTTTTCTGGTTTTATCAGAAACCAATGAAATGATGCATTAGAGCTAATAAATTGTCTTTCTGCTACCTATGTACATGTGTATATTCCTATCAGCAAAACTAAAGGAACGCATTAACTGTAGTGGTTAGTGACAAAAATAACATTTATTTCATAACTTCGAAACCCAGAGCAAGATTCAGCATGGTGTATCGACCTGGTGCTGGCACGACTTACTCGGGTCTCACACCCGTTTTTGCATGTTGACGGACCTGGCACGGAGCTGGCACGGTGCTGGCACGACTTACTCGGGTCTCACACCCGTTTTTGCATGTCGACGGACCTGGCACGGAGCTGGCACGAAGCTGGCACGGAGCTGGCACTGTCCGCAAAAACTTGTTCTTACAGTTTTGTTCATTGTAGCTTCAAGACAGCTGCTTTCAGCACCAATTTATTGTATAGTTATCAATTATTAGCAACAAAACAACAACAACAACACAAACAACAATAACATCCTAGATCAATGAACGGGTTAGCTCCTCCCTAATGTTGGCCGCCCCAATTCTGGGATGCGGTATGTGCGCAATCCTTCTACCAAGATGACGCGTAGGGCGGCATCTCATCGAGAGCATAATGTTATGTAGGACTGCACAAGCCATAATGATTTGCGCCGCCTTTTCTTTTTGTTTGCAAAATTCTGAAGCAGCCCTTCCATTTCCCGAACACACACTCGATCACAACCCGCTCCTCCTGTGGGTCCTGTTAAATCGGTGTTGCGTCCGGTCTTGAGGGTTCCTGTACGGGGTAAGGATCTCGTTACTATTTGAAAAGCCTGAATCCCCAATCAGGCAGTAACCCTCAGGAACGACTCCTCCTGCGAATGCATCATGAAGGCGGCTATATCTGTACACGGTAGCATCATGAACAGAACCTGGGTAGTTGCTGTTTATGTAGATGAATCTACCGTGGGCGTCAACAACGGCTAACACGTTGATGGCGCAGAATCCTTTTCGGCAATAGTACTCCCACCCTGAGTTGGCCGGCCTCAGGATGGGCACAAGCGTGCCGTCGATGGCTCCCACGACGTTCGGCAGCCTTCCCAGTCGTGCGAAGCCATCGGCCTTCCTCCGGCAGTAGCGCTCGTCGTTGAGATGGCACGAAAGGAACTTCTGCACTACTGCCGGGTGGTTCAGCGCCTTCACCACGTCCTCCACGGCGTTCGACACCGTCTTCTGGCAGACACCAATCGTGTCTGCTAGAACAGCTTGATGGGCGTTCGTGGCAAGGTACCGCAAGGCGATGATGACCTGCAACTCGCTGATTAGTTTGGTTTTCTTTAGATATTTATACATCCTAATAACTTCATGTATTGATTTTATTGATTTTTCAATGAATCTTTGTGTTACGATCCTGGGATTGACACAGAGGGACAATGTGGTTATGGCTTGCAATAAAAAAAATTTCCAAATTCTATGTGTATGCTCTCTATCCTTGGGATTTTCAACTAACAGAGCTTATGCAACTAGCCTTGTTTTCCACCTCAACGCTCCAATTCTCGATACGTTCCCGAGGCATCAAAGGCTCCAAAAGGGCGCAAAGTCGCCGAAGGTGATACTCCTTCATTCGAAACCTTCTCAGAATCAGGCGTTGATTCGAGTGAAAGAGGCGCAGGGGATGGAGGCGTCTGTAACGGATATTCCTGTGCCTCCTAACAGGAGCGGCATACATGAGCATCGGTAGCATCTCTGAATAAGCTATCATTAATGTCGGGACCATTTCAGAGCGTCATAACGAAATGTTCGCTGGGAAAGCATAAACACAAGAAAACTATCCAAAAACGCAAAACAAAGATATCAATAGATAAAGATCATTACCAGGCCGCCCTCGGAATATTTTCTCAAAGTTCAAAGTCTACTCTGAGCATTGATCATGTTCGAACACATGCACAATTTTCTTGCGCATTCTCTTACCGCTTCTGCATTCTGTGGTACATGAATGTGTGGTCGAGTGGTTAGCGCAGAGATGCTCAAAGGCGAGAGTGGAAGTTCGAGGTCGCGTGGCGCAATGCTTTTGCGGCGGATCGAGAATCTGCGACGTACGCTTGCCACTGCTTCGACAACGCGAGACATGTATGTGTGGTCAATCGGCTAACGCGCCGGTGTTCGAAGTCATTGCATGCAAGTTCGAACGCCCGCGGCGCAGATGTTTTGCGGCGGCCCGGCAGATCCAGGCATTCCTTTATCATACGCTTCGCCATGTGCGCAGCGTACGTGTAGTCGATCGGTTAGTGCGCCGGCGTTCGAAGTCAATGCATGCAAGTTCGAGGGCGCGCGGTGCGAGTGTTTTGCGGCGCTCAGCTTGTTGCCAGTCTGCGAGTTCATGCCGGAGTTGGCAACTTTCCGTGATGTGTGCCAACTTGGCGGCATCTTAGATGCCGCCAGGTAGGGTAGATTACTACCGGCCCAGTAGTAGTCATTTTGCCGCTACATAAGTTCTTCATGCGCGCGAGTTAACCACGAAAGTCTGAGTGGGAGGGGAATAGCGAGCTCGTCCGAGCTCGTGTAGGAATGATTCGCGTACACGGGTTTGGGGCAGTTCCTTTGGTATGGGCAGCCTGTGCACTCGGACTTGCTCCCTTTTTATATTTCGGGTGTAAGCAACCTATCACCTAAAAATTTCGAGATGTTCGTTTTGCCGAGCCAGCCAATGCAAACCTCAAAATCTTCGTACTGATTACTTTACGAAACATTTTTTGTATACACGATGCACAGCATGAATTTTTGGGAGTGTTCAGAAGTTTTGGATGATTCATATGCAAATTTTGACTCAAAGCGGAAGATACTAACAAGTCAATTTGCTGCAAATTTGATTTTGAAGGCCTTTGGGACATCCTGTATATTTCGAGTAGAGTCCCTACAAGATTGACACTAAGGTTAATGCCAAAGTCTATGATCCATAAAAATCATTTCTGGTAAGGTGTCATTTGCTGAGATCTGTCATACCTATTTGCAACAAGCTTATTTGAGAATTCACAAGTTTGTACATGATTGTAGCCCGCAAAATAGCAAACCAATCGTTGCCAAAAAACCTTTTGTAAGCAGCGATGGTTACTACTAGCAATACACTGGAAACAGCTTACTCAATTAAACTTTCAGAATCTTTTGTCGGCTTGCCAATCCTGGTCCCAAACAAGACTTGAATTCTTCCCAGACTTCCGTAAATAGCGGGAAGGGCGCTCTCATCTGTTCGGGCACTTGTGTAAATAATGGCCCGAACATGGGAGATTGATGAATACCGCCCGTGGTCCCAACCAAGACCTGAAAGTCCTGGCATAGCCGCAGATAAACTTTTTCAAAGAAATTTCGTGGTGCTAATACAGCAGTAGAAGAGTTGAGCGCTTTTTTTGGGCACCCTGTACATTTCGAGTAGAGGTCCTTACAAGATTGTCTGCTGATGCTAACTATCTCGGAAGTTGATTTTTAGAATTCATGGTACCTACGAATTAGTCCTGTTCGTTGATATTGGATTGCTGTGATGCATGTTCCTTGCGCTTACTCCGCGTGGGTGAAAAATTTGAGAAACATATATTCAGATAGATCGAAGCAAACTCTACAAAATGGCAATTAAATATTCGCAAACAATTCGAAGGTGAAGCAAGAATTAAAGAAATTTTGAATACTTAAATATTTGATCTCTCTTCAGGACGACTTTATGCATCTCCACTTGCTCACAAATATACCTTGAACATCAGACATTTTAATGTGCGATTACGAATTTTTCTTTTGCAGGAGATCAAGAAAATAGGCTAAAACGAAAAGACGTTCGAGTTTATACTACTCAAGGACTTTTATTTGTAGTCCTTTGGCAGAAAATGCCTTTACACCGCCATAGGTGCGATAGTATGAAAATTCGCTCACCCTCCCTTCACACAAACAACCGGGACCAAGGTGACCCTCTTCACCAAAAGCCGAAAAAATCAACAGTGAGGTAAAGTTAAACGAAGGAGTTATTTGTACAGGGATTGTTTGTTTAGAGAGGAAGAAAATTTATAGACCTTTACGAACTTCAAGGAGGAAAAAAAATAGCACTGTGTAGCTGCGCAGCAGCGTCGCGAGGAAAGTACCGTGGTACAATGCCCCCCCTCTGGTTTTAGAAAAAATATACTGTGACTGGGTTTCATTCAAAAATTGTGTGGATGAAAGGTGTGCGGGATTTTTAAACACTTAAAAGTTTTTAGCATAAAAAACTTCATAAATCTTTGTAGATGAATAGCTGGTACAAAAAAATAGTCACCATCGGAGCCGCCTCGTCCTCCTCTTTCAGAATATAGCATGTCCGAAATCCACTAAAATGTGCCGGAGTAAAGGGTGTGATTAGTGATTTCTGTATATTTTCAAGTTTTTAGCGTAACAAATTCATAACTTTTGTAGATGAACAGATAGGCCGAGATAGCTACCATTGGAACCTCTGTCCTCCTCTTTCAGATGTTAATACCTTGCCTGAGATTCGTTTAAAAAAGTTGGGTGAAGGGTGGGTGAGACTTTTATAATGGGAGTGCTCAAGTAGACGTCTTTTCACAATGGTGAAAAAACCTCCACTTGAGCACTCCCATTATAAAAGTCTCGCCACCCTTCACCCGGCAATTTTTGATGAACCCCAGGCAAAGTATATATTTTCTGGAAGCG